AGAGGTGATTAAGTTAGAATCCACTCACAGCAGTGCTGAAATTGCTCACAAATCCTTTTATTTTAACACATGAAGTGTAGACACTGTGAAAGATTCATTGTGCATATATTTATTGTGTTATAACAGAGCTTTATGAGATCGCGATTAACTGAGATTTCAGCTTTTAGTGATAATAAAGGAAGCACGCTGCTCGCATTCTGCCATGCCATGCACGCAGCAGCCCATGCTTGCTTTTAAATTAAATATTAAAATTCAATTTATGCATTTAGCAGACGCTTTTATCCAAAGTGACTTACAGTGCATTCAGGCTATACATTTTTTACCAGTATGTGTGTTCCCTGGGAATTAAACCCACGACCTTTGCGCTGCTAACGCAATGCTCTACTACTGAGCCACAGGAACATTTCTGTTAAAAATAACAGTGGTTTATGATGGGATATTGTGGATCTTAGGAGATGTTACAAAACCATTTCATGTTAATTTCTTTGATGTACTGAAAAAAAATCTATATAGATTACTTTTTTTGCGGGCGGGAGCGGGACAAAACATGAATGTTGCAGGCAGGAGCGGGACCAGATAAGATATATTTATAGATATATATAGAAAAATCAGTCCCGCGCAGGTCTCTAGTTCCCACTACATTGCATTGTTATATTTCGTAAAAGTTTTACCAGCCAACTGGCGACTGACACTGTTACATATACTCGCCAACGCTGATTTTTACTCACATTTGGCTCTTGGTGAGTGTTAATTTTAGGCCCTGTATATATATATATATATATATAAACTTGCCTACTGCGTTGGGCTAACGGAGACTTTTCATAGCACGTATACATATTGCTCTTTTGTTGTTTGCTTCTATTGACATAATTTGTAAGTCGCTTTGGAAAAAAACGTCTGCTAATGACTATATGTATGTATGTATGCGTGTGTGTGTGTGTGTAAACACTGGACTGACTATCGGCTTGCCAGTGGTGTAACAAATGTCTATAGAACAAAATTAATAAAACATATACATTTAACATTTGACAAAGCTCAAGTTAAAATGTTTTGTCAGTCATTGTTTTTAAAGTGTTCATCTTCCACTTCAGAGTCTAAGTAGCTGACAGACGGACAAACCATTATATAAAATAATGAATAAAAATACATATATTTACCCTTTTCCACTCTGTGAGAGTGAACGCACAGATCTCCGATTCCTCTGACCAAGTTCCTCTGACTGACGTTGAATCAACTTCTGCTTGCTATCTGGGTTATCAGTGATATTTACAGCTTACTTGATACATTTACACCTCAGAATGATCGCAAACACCAATGACCGGGTATAACACATTCAAAACATTTACACCAGAGCAGATATTCGCGAACAGAAGTTTAGTTCTAGTCATAAACACAAGCATGCTTTGTATGTAGGCCTATTATACAATACAAAAACATTTATATATGGGAAAATATATTTATAAACATCTACATATATTCGCGAATATATGTAGATATCAAAGTAAAGTTTTGTCTAATCATTCTTTCTCTAACATTAGGCTATTAACATTATAACTCATATTACTTTTATATCGTATTACTGTCTATTTTATAGAACATTAAAAAAACATCCTGGCATTGTGAGAAATTTAGATGCAGTGAATGAAACTTCATAATGTTTCACTTGATTATACATTTAGTCAGGAATTATAGTTTGGAAAAAGTCTTAACTAGTGAAATGTGTACAAGTTATGTGACAACTAATGCAAGTAGGTTAATTTAAAAAAAAAACGTACACATGTAAATGATCTCCGCTGGATCAAGCCGCCGCGTTCTTCTTTTTCTGAGGTATTCCAAAGCATATTTCTCTCAGCGCGTCTTTTTCTGAGGTAAATTCTGTCTTATTCCTCTCAGCACATCTTCTTCCAGAAACGAACAGTAGCCGAGATGAACTTGAGGAAAAGTCTGGCTGCTTTGTTTGCTGTGATGTGAGCGTTTATACGCCACGCGTCTCACGTGGACTATCGTAATATCAAAAGCGAAAGTAGCTCGTGGGCGTGATCTAATTAGAGATAAGGAAGTCAGATGGGAAAGACTGGACATCGCGTTGGTTTCACGTAAAAAAAAATGTAAGAAAACGCTCCGGCGCGTTTGTCGACCCCAGAGGGTTAAAGGATGTTATCTTGTATTATTAAAAACAAATGCAAAAAGGATCTAGAATTTATTGTTAAACTTTGTATTTTATTAGCAAAATTTCACATACATAAAAAGTTCTTAATTCATCTCCTATGTTAAATTTGTTTTGTTCTGACTTTGACTTTTATATTTCTTCAATAAGACTGTTAAAAAACAAAAAGTCTGCGAAATGTTTAAAATGCTATAATACACTCTTCAATCCCCCTGGTACTTTTTAATATCCTTATTCGTTAAAATTGAATGTGAGCTATGCCTTTTTATTTATTTTATATATTTTCTCTTATTTGTTCATATTTTGTATTATTATTTTAATGTTAAAATCACACCTCTGCTTTGCTTTCGACAGAGATGCTTGTGATTGGCTACAATTCTCAACACAGTAAAAAAACATGTTGCAAATCGAAAACTTTGCTTTTATGATTCGAGACCATGCACGAATATACACAGCAGCGTTTTAAAGCAGTCAACGCAATCCCTCCCCAACCCCACCAATTTCAAAAACTCGCCGGATCTACACGAATCACACAAAATGTCTTTTAATTGGTTTCGAAAAGTGACAAATTTGCATCCCAGGCTACAGCTAAATTTGTCCATACAAAGGCATTTCCTGTAACGTCATAAAACGTCTATAATTTTCAGTTTGTACATTCAGTAAGAGGGCACCCTCTGGCTTAGAGTATAAATGAAACATAAATACAACATTTCATGAGTGCTTACACATCACATAGTTTTTGAGTAAAATAGATAACAATAATTATATCTAAACAAATGTAAAGTAAACATGTGCCAATCCATTAGTTAGTTAATCCATTTGTTACTAATAACAGATAAAAAGTGTATATAAAGTTATCACCTATGAACTCCCGCATTATAACAGGTCTAAACATAAACAACATTGAATTATTTTTTTCTGTATAGAAGCATGGTGTTTTGCAAATTACTATATAGATTAGGGGTTTCCAATACTGCTCATGGAGAGCCGTCCTGCAGGTTTCAGCTCCGACGTCAATCAAACTCACCTAAACCAGCTAATCAATGTTTTTCAGACTTACTTGTTAACTCCAGGAGCAGTTTGGAAACCCCTACTCTAGATATTGGTCTCAAATTAACCATAACGAAAAGCTTACCATTCAGTTTATGATCATGGGAAATGAAGCTCGAGGTTGTGGTCATAGTTGTTCGATATCCTGGCATTGCAAATTGTATACTACAAATCTTTGACATGTTATATTAAAAGAAAGGTTTTGCAAGAGTCTTTTCAACACTCGGTCATATTTGACGTGCTGTATGTTGACTGATGGCCAGTGTCCATATGAAAGCTTCCGTGCCGCAGGCTACCTTGCACAGCACCACCTAGCGTCCGACTACCGTTGTTAAAGATAAAACCGGTATTTTAATACAATATCATGGCAAGTCTAATTTTCATCGTCTACACTGTCTACAAAAAAAACAATAGAAACCATCACAGAAATGCTATGGCTTCCATTACAAATACCATTAGAAACATTACAAACCATCAACTATTAACCATTAAAACCAATACAAAATGGTTTCCTGACAAATTACCAGTAGAGACCAACAGGAACCATTACAATTTCCATTAAAACCAATACAATTCCTATTATAACCAGTTTTACAAATTCTGTGATGGTTTCTTTTCTTTTTTTCAGTAGGGACATTTACATAACATGTTATTGACAAACATTTTATGTAGATGTTTGTGCTTCAGTCATGAAGACATGACCTGTGATAACATCTCAATATTTGAAGACAACACAGAAAACAGTCCTAAAGAGGAAGCCTTTTTCAGTGACACACATGACAACTGAAGACTTGCCAGATGAACTGCGTCAATGGGTGGTAGAGTCTGGTGTGACAAAATGCAGCTGACAAGCCTACTTAAAATTTTAAACAAACGTCCCCTCACTCCCAAAATGTTCACGGAATTTGATTCATTCACGCGAGGTGAAAACAGTTGATGCTGGGGAGTATGTGCATTGTGGCATATTGGAATATTTGATCCAAAACAAAGAAAGTCTGCTGTCACAATCTGACACAATCAACTTGCAGGTGAACGTGGATGGACTACCATTATTCAAGAGTTCTCCAAAGCAACTTTGGCCAATTTTAGGGAAATTTCCATTTGAAAGGGATCCATTTGTTGTAGGGGTCTTTTGTGGAAATAGCAAATCCCGCAATCCGATCCAGTATCTTCCGAGACTTTGTTCAGGAAGTTTCCACTCTTGAACAAGGTTTCAGTGTAGATGAGAGGAAGTTCTCTTTGTCCCTGGACTGCTTAATTTGTGATGCTCCAGCACGATCATTTATAAAACAAACAAAGGGGCTTGGAGGCTATAGTGGTTGTGATCGCTGCACACAGGAGGGATCCTGTGGGGGACGAAAAATGACGTTTCCTGAAACGCATGCCAGCCGGAGAACAGACGAGTCATTTGCCGAACAGCGTGATGAAAATCATCACAGAGGTCACTCAATACGTTTAGGAATGGTCACACAGTTCGTGCTTGACTATATGCATGTTGTTTGCCTTGGTGTCACAAGGAAGCTGCTAAAGTTTTGGACCAAAGGTGCACATCGAATCTGTCTCGATGTTCAAGATACGGCTGATATTGTTCCACATTTGTCACTTTTCTGTTCTGCTCAGACAGAATGAGACGAGTGTTTGCTGTGTTTGGATCCAGTGAGAGAAAACACAACCCTGAACACAGAAACAGAGATATTTATAACACAACAACAATCATTACAGGAGAGAGAGAGAGAGAGTGTGTGTTTGTAGACGTACATTTCTTTAGTCCTGTTTTAATCCTGCACTCTTCTCCATAATCCACACTAGAAAACACACAGTCACATTTAATCAGTAAACGAACACAAAATCAAATTACATTTTCAATTATGATTTTGACTTTCAATGATTTTGAAAACAAGATAATCGAGATTAAACAACATGTTACACATGCTTTAAACATACCAGCAATCATGGGTGACATTTAACTCTTGAATCGGTGGGGGAGAAAAAAATGTAAAAAAACAAAAATGTAAAGTCTTTATGGGTATTAGTATCACTTGAAATGTGTCTGTTTTGGACTCGTTCCCACCAAATGCGAAACACGTGCGCAAAAAAATCAGTTGTGGGATTATATTCAAGCCATTCATAAATCGCGTACCATTCTTTCCTGATATTTCTACCCTTCATAACTGGAAATTAAATTACTGGTTGATATGCCCAATCTCAATAAAGATTGCACATTTTTTGGTCTGTTAACTGGATCTTGCTCAGGACACGTGCCATTTGTGAAAGCTTGGCCAAGCCTGGTTCCAGATGTACCATCTATTGCTATGGTTATCACTATGTCAATCATTGCTATTTAGAGGGTGAATCCAGCATAAATATGAAATATAAATACTATATTATCCAGCATAAAGCTGAAATATAAATATCATTTTAAACTCATGTGTGAAAGGGTTAAGCATGGTAGCCAAGGCTCACATAGTCATAGGCCACTAGCATTAAGCCGGTTGGCGTGGTAGCCCAGGCACACATACAGTAGATAGTAATACATGTGGTTCACATGGCTTTTTGGAGAAGCAGCAATAGATCTGCAGCAGCAGTATAGCAGATCTATTCCACCTGGACCAATCACATTAACACTGCCATGTATATGTATATAGAATGAGTTACATGATTTATTAGCAAACAACAGACAAGACACAAAGAGGCAAGGATTGAGGTGAACAGTCAAAACAACAGGCAGGTATGAGGCACAATAACAGGCAAGCTAAGAGAGTGGCTGCAGCGTCCAGCCCAAGACGACAGCAGGCTATAGAGCAGAGATGGTGCGAGACCGGAGGATAGCAGCGATGGCCAGGCAGGAACTCTATACACTCGGGTATCTCTGGCACCACACCAGTCTTACTGCTAGAGTGAGTGCCCTGGGAAGCTTAGCTTGCAGGACAGGACTGGAACAGACAGAAGACACAGCAAACACAAGACAAGACTCGACAAAACAGATGGCAGAGACTAACGCTATGCAACCACTAGAGAAACTACTACTAAAGTAGTAAGCTAATAGAGAAAACAGAGAAAACTATAGCTTGGAACAAACTAAAAGAACTAGTAAAAAAAAGGCAAAAAGCAAACTACTAAAGTAAGATAAAAGGGAAAACTAAAAACTACAGTAAACTAAGAACTCTAGAAAAAGCTGAGAAAACTAAGGGGAAAAATGTAACAATAGCAAGGATACTCTGGAACAGAAGGCAGATCAAAACACAATTAGAGAAGCAAAATAGGAGCTACTACTACTACTAGCAAACAACTAACTGTAACATAGCACACAACAGCACAAGTAGCCTCAACATAGCACAAAGTGCCACAAATTTATGATGAACTGGCAAAACAAGAGGGAAAGAGAACACAATATAAAGGGAGCACACTCAGACAAACAAGGACTAAACAAAGGGACGTGTTAATTAGAAACTAGGAGGCGGGATCAGAGGAGCACATGGCTAACAAAAACAGAGCCATGTGCTCAGACATATATATATATATATATAAAAACACACACATAGCCACTGAGGAGTTGAAATAATAACAATTTGCCACTGAAATAATAAACTACTTGACATACTCGAGTTTGTCCAGTGAGCATTTTGAATCCTCCAGTTTTTCAGAGAGCAGCTTGACTCCTGAATCTCCGGGGTGATTGTAGCTCAGATCCAGCTCTCTCAGGTGTGAGGGGTTTGAACTCAGTGCTAAAGACACATAACGACAGCCTTTCTCTGTCACCATGCAGCCAGACAACCTACAAACACAGCAACAGTCCACATTACATTAGTTTAACAATCAGACACCTCTTTCATACATGTATACCCATTTCAGCCATGAATTATTCATATATGATCATATCTTGAGGTTCAGGGCCATAATTTGTGTTAAAAAATAAATCTGTCCCTCATTATAAATGCAATAGTATATATGTAACTGTCAATGTATGATGCCGATCTATCTATCTATACAACAGTTCTTTCTGGTCCTCGAATCTGATTGGCTGATAAGAGTGTGATATTGGAGTGATAACAGAACTCCAACCGATTCACTTTGTATCACTCCGGTTGCAGTATTTCTCACAGCGAGTGTCATGGCGGACGCCCGTCAATGTATGATGCCAATCTATCTATCTATACAACAGTTCTTTCTGGTCCTCGAATCTGATTGGCTGATAAGAGTGTGATATTGGAGTGATAACAGAACTCCAACCGATTCACTTTGTATCTTTGTGTAGTTTGTATCACTCCTGTTGCAGTATTTCAGTATTATATATACAGTGCCCAAATCCACTATCATTTTTAAATATAATACTGTTTTTGTGTCACAGAATGTAGTTTTAAGTAGGGGTTGCACAGACTACTCGATTAGTTGACTTTAATGCTCTGCCATGATGCTTTAAGCTTGAGGTCGACTAGTCACTGGTCCTATAGAGGGCGTAACAGAATAAGAAATCTTTGAAGTCCACATTTACACTCTGTTTCCAAACAGTTAATATGACAAATAAATGCGTACTCCCAAAAGCGCTCCACAAGACATGTGATTATACCATCTGGGTGCTCGACATTGAACAGGAGAATGCGCGTTTTAAACAGTGTATTGTACAGGTAAGTTAATCACCGTTCTAATGTAATGCGCAGCTGCATTGTAATGCACACACATAGGCTACAGACAGTAGCTCATACATCACGTGCAGATCGCAAGCACTCAGAATCTTTCAGTAACGGCGCGGAAATTTAGTGTCAACACTGTTCTATGATTTCTTAATAATATAGCTTAGAAACTGAAAAGTTATAGCATTTTTTAGTAACTAAAACCCACAGCTTCACTATTAGTAGAGAGATGCTGCCAGATAGAATTAATTCACACATGCAGTCGCTCTCTCACTAATGCATTCATATAAATGTAATCTAATGCTACTTTGTTTCTGATTTAGAATGAGCAGAAATCTGTGAGAAATATAACGACCCAAAGACAAAAGAACTGATAAAAATGAGCTGTTATAGGACCAATAGCCATGTGGGCAGCGCTGTGTCATATGCCATAGCTGTGCACAAGGTTTTCGAGTCAAATGTTGACTTTAAAAAGTTGTTTAACCCCTAGTCACGTTATATTTTATGTAGCTTCACTGCTGTATTGAGCGCGGTCTTTGTCTTTTGACTGAATTGCCTAGCAACTTTTATGATGGCTGTTGTTCCATTAGATGGCGACAAAAGACGCTGTTTTTACGAGTCAGCAGTAAAGACTTTTATCCCTTTATTGGGCACTCATTGAAATACTTGGAAATTCAAAATTTCAACCCTGGAGTTTTATTGGAGGTTATAACATGACTTTTGTGAATTAAAAATAAAATAAAAATGTATCTTGCAAATCAAGGTCAATGAAGTTACCATAGATGGTTCCTCGCCGATCTATGGTCACCCCCCCCCCCCCCAAAAAAATGGTTTTATATTTAAAATATAAGACACATATATAAAATATAAATACATAAAACATATATAAACTTAATAGAATATTTATTTAGGAACATTTCTTCTTTTTCATGTGTCAAAGTCACTTAAGCAACTAATTCTTTGACGGACTAGGGTCATTTGTTTTCCAAAAAGTGGTAAATAAACTTAATAAAATATTAATTTAGGAAATTATTTTCTTTTATTTAGAAATTTTTTTTTCTTTTTCACGTGTCACAATTTCAGTCCAGTCACTTAGGCAACTTCTTCATGGTACTTGATAAAGCAGTTGCATTCAGCATTGAGGCACAGGTGGACCTTACAGACCCTGCAGAACACCTTTGACCTCAAAATGTTCCCCTTTCCTGCTGCATTACTTAAAGGTCTGGCGGTTGGTGTAGACAGGGGCATGGAACAGGGACATGTTAAACCGCTCAGAAGCATCTGGGGTGTGGCTGCGGTGTCCCCGGACAGGCTTGGGGACATCAGCAGAGATGCTGGGGGCACATGGAAATGATGAGCTCCTTCGGGGGCAAGACATGACTGGCCTCTAGCTGCTGCAACTCCTAAACACATGATAAATAGCACTAAGCACTGGCGGTACCACTTATTTTAGCAGTAATAAGGCTCACAGTAAAAATAAACGCCAATATATGCCATAATAATATTAACTGTAGTAGTTATAATAATAAAAATGGTTATAAGTTAAACGTAGTACACTATTGATGGCTTGATAATTTCAATAAATGGCTTAAGTTTCCCACTGGATCACTGTTTAATGTTATACAAACCTGTGGCAACATCCAATGCACTATTGAATGCTATTGTTCTACATTATGATGCATTATGTGAAAAATAGCACTATAAGTACTGGTGGTACCACTTATTTTAGCAGTAATGAGGCTCACAGTAAAAAATAAACACCAATATATGCCATTTAAGTATAATAAAAACTGTTATAAGGTTATAAAACTGACCAAAATTACAACCCGAATTCCGGAAATGTTGGGACGTTTTTTAAATTTGAATAAAATGAAAACTAAAAGACTTCAAATTCAAATGAGCCAATATTTTATTCACAATCGAACATAGAGAACATAACAAATGTTTAAATGGAGAAATTTTACACTTTTATCCACTAAATTAGCTCATTTCAAATTTGATGCCTGCTACAGGTATCAAAAAAGTTGACACGGGGAGCAACAAAGGGCTGAAAAAGCAAGACATTTTGAGAAGATTCAGCTGGGAGAACATCTAGCAACTAATCAAGTTAATTGACATCAGGTCTGTAACATGATTAGCTATAAAAGGGATGTCTTAGAGAGGCAGCGTCTCTCAGACGTAAAGATGGACAGAGGCTCTCCAATCTGTGAAAGAGTGAGTAAAAAGATTGTGGAATACTTTAAAAACATCGTTCCTCAATGTTAAATTGCAATGGCTTTGCAAATCTCATCATCTACAGTGCATAACATCATCAAAAGATTCAGAGAAACTGGAGAAATCTCTGTGCGTAAGGGACAAGGCCGAAGACCTTTGTTGGATGATTCTGTCATTGACATTACTAAATGGGCCCAGGAATACTTCCAGAAACCACTGTCGGTAAACACAATCCGCCGTGCCATCTGCAGATGCCAACTAAAGCTCTATCATGCAAAAAGGAAGCCATATGTGAACATGGTCCAGAAGCGCCGTCGTGTCCTGTGGGCCAAGGCTCATTTAAAATGGACTGTTTCAAAGTGGAAAAGTGTGCTATGATCAGACGAGTCCAAATTTAACATTCTTGTTGGAAATCATGGACGCTGTGTCCTCCGGGCTAAAGAGGAGGGAGACCTTCCAGCGTGTTATCAGTGTGCTGTTCAAAAGCCAGCATTTCTGATGGTATGGGGGTGCACAAGTGCATACGGTATGGGCAGCTTGCATGATTTGTAAGGCACTATGAATGCTGAAAGGTGTATATAAGGTTTTAGAACAACATATGCTCCCCTCCAGACGATGTCTGTTTCAGGGAAGGCCTTGTGTATTTCAGCAGGACAATGCAAAACCACATACTGCAGCTATTACAACAGCATGGCTTCGTAGTAGAAGAGTCTACTGCAGTCCAAATCTTTCACCTATAGAGAACATTTGGCACATCATTAAACAAAAAATATGTCAAAGACGACCACGAACTCTTCAGCAGCTGGAAACCTATATCAGGCAAGAATGGGACCAAATTCCAACACCGAAACTCATAACCTCGATGCCCAGATGTCTTCAAACTGTTTTAAAAAGAAGAGGAGATGCTACACCATGGTAAACCTGCCCCTGTCCCAACTATTTTGAGACCTGTAGCAGGCATCAAATTTGAAATGAGCTAATTTTGTGCATTGGCTCATGTGATTTGAAATTCTTTTCGTTTTCATTTTATTCCAATTTAAAAAAACGTCCCAACATTTCTGGAATTCGGGTTATACACATATTTCACTATTTATGGCTTCAATAAATGGTTTAAGTTTCCCACTGGATCACTGTATAATGTTATACAAACCTGTGGCAACATGCAATGCACTATTACATACTATTGTCCTACGTTATAATGCAATATAAAAAAACCTAAGTATGGCTTACTAGACGCATCAGGCGTATGTTTAAAAATGGACATACTGTCACGTGCACTAGTTTTACCTGAATCCTTATATGATCACACCATTTTTCATGCCACAATGTTCACTAATTTATAGAAATCCTACACAAACGACATCTATCTCAACATTTAACACAACTACTCAACCATATCATGTGTGAGTTTCATTAACTTACCATTGTTGCTATTTCCGTATTTGTGGAAGTAGGTAGGAGTGTAGATCCATACTTTACAAATTCTTGAATGACGCCGAAGTTTGAATTGCCCCAGGCAACTCCTGATTGGTCAGATGCCATGGTGTCACTATCTGTGATGTAGACTGAAATCCGTTGATTGGCTGAGAAAAATCCATGTGCTTATACAAGCTCACAGAGAGGCATGTAAACACCATTTTGAATGTTCGATTAAGTTACCAAATATGGTGTTTCAACCAATAAAGGGTTACTACAGAGACCTCAACGCTGTTGTAAACAAGAGTTATTTTTACTTTCAACAACCGCTTGTAAGACGCAGCCAACAAATGCACGGAGCAGCGCTGTCACCAGAAATCACCCTTAACAGATGAAAGGATAGTTCTACAAAGATATCGCTTTCCTCAGCGGACATTCAAACTAATGTTTTATTGTGAATATGAGATTGAGCTGAAGAATGAAGACCCGCTACGATAAAAGAAGTGTGAATCGT